TGTAGATCCAAAACATCGAATTTTGTTGGATGATGAACAAATTAAGAAAGTAAAGAAAGCCATCCATAAACTTTCAATAAAAGTGAAATTATCTTCAGAACAATTGGAGTATTCAAATCAGGACAGTCAAACTGCAGACATTGCAACTGACTCTCTATCATTCTTTTTTTAGTGATGAATTAGATTTTGAAAATTATTTTTGGATAATATTGAAAAGGCTAAGGCAAAGTGAATAAAACTAAAGCAACAAAAGCCTTTAGATATAAAAATGAAAAAATACAAACAATATTTCTACATGGCTTTTGAAGAAATAGAGAAATATCTCTCTCTTGCAGACACGTCTTTTAAACTTAAAATCACCCTGAAAAGTTAAAAGAAGTAGCCCTAACAGTAAATCTCTCCTCCTACTCAGCAGTGCAAACACGTCTCAGCTCAAGGGGATCATCGAATCAGCCCCCCCAACAAGTCTGCAAAGCGGTACTTTCTTAGAATTCTATGACAGTTTTTCCATTTCATAAAAATGCTATAATCAAATTTGCTCCCATCAGGTTTTCCCGGGACTCTAGTACTGGGATTAAAAAAAAGAGGGGTACTCATGTGTTGGTTTCTCTTGTATATTGAGGGAGTTGGTCATTTTCCCTACCAACTCCACAGCCCTGATTTCTGAGGAGGGTAGAAATTAACAGGAAAAAAAAGATCTTTCTTTTCTGTTTTGTGACAGGAATACAAGATGAATATTTATTACTGTTTTTTAGTGCTAAGATTTTTATAAAATTAGCAAGTTGCATAGAGTAAATGGACAAAGCATTTGCAGAATAAAGATTTTAATAAGTTTTACTTGTAAAGTAGAAAAAAATTTTGCTAATTAATACAATATCTTTTAGGAATGTTAATTTTTAAGTGGCAAAACATTTTCTCTAAATCAGGGTTTCTTAAACTTCTTTCAATCGCGACCCCTTTTTATCATTGAGATTTTTTCGTAAGCCTCAGGATCCCATAATATTTACAAAAATTTTGTGGGACCCCATAAGTATTGCGCAAGTCCGACACACGCGTGAGTGAAACTGTCAATTTTTCTCTTGTACTGTAATATACTATTGCAGTTTTAGGTCATTAACTTTAATTTATAATTTTAAGACGTAGAACGATGTAAAAATTTTAAATAACAAACAAAATGACTGCGTCACGTGCAAAGCAAGGAAAATGAACATTTATATTATAAAAAGAATGCATTGAAATGTTTTTGTTTTTTTCTTTGTCTGTATTATCTTATCTTTATCTATTTTTGGATAGATTGTGTAAAAATATTTGGTAATTGTAAAATTATTATAAGAGTTAAAAAAATTTCAAAACTGCTAAAATTTTTGGCGACCCCCTACTGCAGGTCGCAACCCACAGTTTAAGAAACCCTGCTCTAAAATATTAATTTTATCATGTGCAAAGAACTAATCATTTTACATTAACTATTTTAAAATTCACAGTTTTTCCCAAACAAAATGAGAATTTTAACAAAGGATATATATATATAAATATAATATATATATATATATTAATATAAAAAATGTGTGTTGCATCAAAATTTGTTTCTTACTCAGGCTTGGGAGTGAAATAGTCAATTCCGGTTAAACTGCTGCTTTGACTCAAGGTTTCTTTTGATGTACTGCTCAGTGACAATTCTCCCAAGCTTTAAGCCCTTCATGGACACATGATTGAGTTTTTGAGTACCACGGTGATTCAAAAGCAGTTGTGATGGATTTGCTTGTGCATTCATTGCAAGGTTCTATTGGAGAGACTGCATTTGTTTCTTCTCATATTGTTGCTTTAATGAACGAATGAAAGTTTCCATAATTTCTACTAACTTTTCGTATTGAAGGATATCTAAACATTCATTTTTGCAATATCTAAATATTGCATTGAATTATATAAATGCTGTAAAATAAGTGAAGAAATTTTGGTATTATAATAAAACAGAAGCAGAGTTTAATATTAATAGGTACTAAATTTTCTTCAGGTGTGTGGATTTTTTATTTTAATGTACAAACTGAGATAAAATGGTACATTTTGTAATTTTTCTGAAACAAAGGAAATTAACAAATAATGTTTGATATTAGTTTTATGTAAATTGATATGTCTGTTCTTAAATTAATTATGAAGTTTGATAATTTGTTCATGAGCTTTGTAGTGGTTGTAAGGAATGAGTTGCAACATTAATTTGTAGAATGCAAAGTTTTTATGTATTTTCATGTTGTATAAACTGATTATAAGAATTTACTAATGCCACCATATTCATGATATTATTTAACCTCTTTGCTTCTACCATATCTTGCCACTTTGTCTACCACTATCTTCTACTACTTTCTCTCCACGTATCAAATGTGATACAGGATCAAAGTGTCACATTGGTGTCCCACCATAAGACATCTGATATACTGAAACAGATTTTATTTCAAATTTTAAATATGTATATAAATTAGGTTAGAATGGTATGAATTGTTGGCCTTTTTGCTATGAATATTATTTACTATTTTATTCTGCAAAGGTAAAATGTATGATGCTTATAACATGCATTCAAAATTTAGAAATGTTTCACGTAGTGCAAGTGGCTTAAAATTTCGTATGTAAATATGTGAGTAGGATATAATAGGCACCGATATTTAAATTCTTAATTTTTTTCATTCCATTAGAAATAATTTAAATGTATAAATCATTGTTATTAACTTATTCTTAAGTTTTACTTAATTTTAAGTATTAGCATTTTTTGTTTATGTTATAAAAAATAATATTTAAATAAATATGCAAGAATCCAAATGTTTCTATGAGAATCAGATTTTATAGGAGTTGGAGTTATTTTTGCATATTAGGCTTAATAGCAAAATGTACACTGCTCAAAAAAGAAAAAAGAGGACAGTTCTATATCTCCCGTTCTACTGGGCTGATTCATGAAATTCAAATTGCGTTCTTTAGGTCTCGAAAGCGCGGCTTAGGATATATATTAGATTTATATATAACACTATTCTAACATAGGTATTTTGACACAAAATTAGACTTTTTCTGAAATAACATACTTTTTTTTTTTTTACATATTTCGATTCTACGACTTAAATTATGCCTAAGTACTAAATTTTGTAAAATTTGGTGCAAAATTTACGGAGAAATTCAACAGTTTATGTTGGCACTTTTTTTTTTTTTTTTCAGTTGCGCCAAGAATAGTTCATTTGGCGAACTTCTTAATATATGACAACCTATTTTCCTTTCCACCTCCTGCATGAGCGGAAAAAAAGTGACAATCATTCCTTTTTTCAGATAATAGTTTTTATATTATATTTTTAATTATAATTGTTATTATTTAAAGTATTTTTTTCTTTTTCGAATTTCATTTTAATTGTTTAAGTTGCATGTTTCTTTCGAATAACTGTTTTAAAAATTTCTTTACTCATTCGAACTGCGTAGTTTAAATCTAAGGTGCATCATTTTTATTTTTCAAATAGTTTCTTTATACTATATTTTTAGTCCATAGTTACTGTTTTAGGTAATTTTTAAATTTTAGACTTTTATTTTAATTGTTAATGTTGCATTGTCTCTTTAATATTATTTTAAAATTTTCTATTTATTCATTCGAACTGAGCATTTTTAAATATATTTATTAATATAAATTTTCCAGAATTTTGATTTTATTTATTTGAATTTTTCTTTCGTAAGAATACTTTGAACCCAGACTACGATGCATTTGAAAACTGCATATATTAAAGAGAAAATACAGTAAAGCACAGTTAACACACCTTTCAATGTTTCCGTTCAGAAAAATATATATAAGTAGAGAGATGTTATAACCGATTTTAACTTAGGATGACTTGCATTACATATTGCTTTAAACAGTTTTTATCATTGTGCCCATTGCTTTACACAATTTTTACCCTACATTTGGTTTCTTAAAATGTTATTCATTTTTGTCAAATATTTTATTTTTGAAATCGCAAGAATCGAAATATCATAAGATTAAAAAGTTTTAAAGTTAAAAAAAATACAATACTAAATTTTACGCAAAAATTAATTTTTTCTTCTCTTTTTCTTCAGGCATTCTGCTTCATTCTTGCTCTTTTTCTTTAGGAATTCTGCAAGTATATTAAAAAACATCCAACTTTTTGAAACATCTTGGTATTTATGACAATCCGTTTAAATAAAGTTATCACCTTCCATTTCATAAAGGCCCTTAAACGGCCAAGCGGTAAAATCGCTGAACACTGGTAGTTCACTCCAGGGTTTGAATCTCGGTAAACAGGCTGGTTGCATGAGTGTTTTCGTGGATTTTTTCATGTGTAATGTGTATTCCAGCTGGTTTCCGTTAGGAAGTTCTTCATGAAAGCATCCTTCCTTTTAGGCAGATAGCCCTGCTTTGCCGTAACTTAATAATCCAATTCAATCCATTTCATCAGTATTTGGTCAGAGCCTTTATCAGTCTTTAGAGGCAGTTTGAATGTATGAGATGAAAGGAAAGACTGGTTTCATCAAAAGGTTTTGGTTTATTTAATTATGACAAAGCACACTAGGGCTATATGCCTAAGGGAAGGGATGCCTTCGTGGAGGACTTTCTAAGGGTAACTGGCTCGTATACACATTATACATTGGAAAAACCACGAAAATGCCCATGCAGCCAGCCTGTTCGCGGGATTCGGACAGAACTACCAGTGTTCAGCGACTTTACCACTTAGCTGCTGTTTCATCAGGAGGGGGAAAAAAAAAGTCTTTAGGTTACATCCACATATATCACTGGATAAACTCCTGAATTTTCAAATAATTCAACTGAGAAATCATGGGATTCTTCGTTTATGATATGATATGATATTCTATAACGTAATTTAAATTTGTACAGCCATATAGTCTAAAACCAGTCACTCTTCACTTTAATCTGCAATGATATCATTTTTGTCTTTTTTTTGTCTAGGTTGCATTTATTTTATTTCTCCCAAAGGTAAAACACAGTCTGCTATTTCTGTTTTACAGGTTCTTCTGATATATTATCAAGCAAGAAAATCTTGTTACTTGAGACTAGTCAAAAAACAGAATATGATGTTGACCCAAACAAATATTCTAATCGAGTATGTGCTTTGAATCAGAACACAAAACTGCTTTTTGAACGTAAGTATCAAATATTAGCTAGTATCCGTTGTGAACTGTGAAAATTTTAACAGAGGGCTATACTTTATCATATGAAAACAAAATATGAAATTCTGATTGAATGTGTTTCATTTTAAAAAATAGAAAATACAAATAATTGTGAATGAACTAGAATACGTTTTTAAATTAAAAAAAATTAAATTAAAAAACTTAAAAAAAAACATGAAATGTTGCAGATATTACATAAAATAACAAATTTAGTTCTGTTGCATAATTTATGTTTGAACCTCCTGCACATTATTTTCTTCTTTTACCTCATTTAAACTTTTGGAAATTTTAAGGCCAAGCAATGATTTTCATAAGATTTTAATGTTAAATTTCTTAAGAAGTGTCTCATTTAAGAAGATTACCATGAAATCTGATGTGTTTCATTTTACAAAAATAGAAAATACAAATAATTGTGAATGAACTAGAATACATTTTTAAATTTAAAAAAAAAATTAAATTAAAAAATTAAACTAAAAAATATCATGAAATGTTGCAGATATTACATAAAATAACAAATTTAGTTATGTGGCATCATCTTCTAAAAAGGTTCTTAGTTCTAAAAGCCTCTTTATCATCAAATATGTACTTCCTTATCGTGTTGCTTGATAAATAATTGCTTCTTTTCCTGCTTGCTTCCTAAGAATGCCTCCTGTGCTGCGTATCTTTTGGGAGTTCTTGCTGCTATTGCTGTTTACCTAAATTTACCAGTGAGATTTGTAACTAAAGGAATGAATTTAATCACTAATGGAATATATCACATCCATCCTCCACACTTATATTTATTAATATGTCAATAAAATAGAAATTAACTATTTATTAATGTATACACTTCATAAATAAAATAATAACTCAGCTTGTCATTAATTGTTTTCAATTCATTTAAATTTCATTTCAAATTCAAACTGTCCTACAAAAACTGGAGTCAGAGTCAGCTTGTTTTTAGCAACTCCAGCTCCGACTCCTTTTACCTCAAAATCTGCCCAACTCCAGCTCTGGTTAAATGCCTAAACTACTGTTTTATATTTTTAATTTCTTAAGTTTTTTCTCTTAGTAATGATATCATTGAGTTATTTAATTTATATTTCTGTGTTACTTAATTTTATAGTATACAACTATTGAAATACATAACATTCAAATAAACTAAATATCATGTTTTTATACTTTTACTTTTGTTTGAATAATCATATTTTACCATTTACCTAATTACTGAAAGAGAAGAAATAATTTAAATAAATATTAATATATTTATAATATTCATATTGTTGGATGAATAGTGTATTTACTTGCATATTTCTCCCTCCTGTATATTTTTCCCATTAGCTTTACCAATACAGAATTTAAAAGCTTTTATTTAAACTAACAACATAACCAAATATTGACAGATAGAAAAATACTTTGTGTAAACAGACCTACACTAATATTCTTTTTTTATTTTCACAAGATAAATTTAGTTAAAAAGTACACAATTTTAGGATTTATATATTTATTCTGTTAGAAGCAGTTGAGTCATCTTTATTTTGAATATGTAGAAGTATATTGAAGTTACTACTTAATGTTCTGAAATTTACATTTCATCTACAGATTTAAATAAATTTATATATAGAGAAGTATGTGTTTAAGTTATTAGCATAATTTTTCCATAAAAAGTAACAATGAGAAAAATTTATATTTTCTTGGATGTTCCTGTATATAAATTATTAATGTTCTTCCTTTTTGTTTATATGTGTATTATTAAATAATGCTCTTTTTATTTTGTTTATATGTATATGTATGTGTGTTATTGATTAATGCCCATCTTATTGTTTGAATATGACGCAAATTCAGAAAATAAGTTTGATAACAGATGGGAGGCCATTCATTGAGAAAGGCGAAAGTACATGCCTGAGAGTTTTAGGATGGAATTGTCATATATAACAATTGCTAATGTACTGTCACTTCTAGTATTATAGCACTTTAAAATGCTGACCTTATTTTTTTTTTTTGCTCATGTGCAAGGTTAGGCAGGTTATAAGTTTTGCACAAAAAATAGTAGAGATCAAAATTCATCATGGGTTATGTCAAGTCTATGGGCCTCACATCATGAACATGGATACACCGTTGGTGCTAGCAGTTTTCTGTAGGTCATAAAGACATTCATGATGAAGAATGCATTGTATAATCAGTCGTCTCATGAGTAGTGTTTAGACCACCTTGTGTAATACCTGTGGCAGAACATTTGGGGAACTCTTGCTGAAGAGTTACAGAACTCGGAAGATGTTTTCCACAGATATCCTATTCCTTGCTTCATGAAATCATCACAAGGCACTCTCTTGTTCTGGAAATTGTAATCCAAGTGAGTGCTGAGGAGCCTCTTGCCTGAACACAGAAACAAGCATATGAGATCAGCACTGACTTTTCTGTAGCAACACTGTGATGATGGTGATGAATTCCTTGACAGGTCATCATGGGGGATGAAAGATTTGTTGCTCTTTTGGCCTTGAAAAACCAAACAGAAGTTGATTATTTGATGTCACAGTGATCTCTGTGGAGGAAAACATTCAAGCAGACTCTGTGAGAAAATTTATGTGTATTGTATTCTGGTCTAGAAAAGACATTCTGCTCAGTAACTTCCTGGTCAGAAGTAAAATGGTAAGTGCTAACCATTTCTGTCAAATACTGCAGAAATTGTGATGGGCTATGCAGAATAAGAGGCACAGGATGCTCAATGCAAGTGTATTGATTCCATGATAATTGGAAAACATATGACTGATGGATCACATATGGCTTAGTGCAAAACACTTTTACAGGAATTCCACTGGGAGGTGTTTCAGCATCTATCCTATAATTCTGATCTTTGTCTTAGTGACTTTCATTTTTTCTTACACATAAACAGGGGTGTTTGTGCTCCGGGGATTTTGAACTTCGATGCCCGGAAATTCCGGGGATTGTCGTTCAAAAGGAAGTAGGAATAATAATGAATTATTTATTTTGATCTGGGTAATTTTGTTTGCTTTGAAAGCAGAAAACACAAGGTCAGTGTGTGTGGTGAAAACTTTTCCTTTCTTTCTCCAAAGGCAGTGATAATGCGTGAAAAGGGGGAAAAAACTTCTTTTTTGTTCTTTCCTTATTGCGAGTTATGACTCATTCCCCCGGTTCTCGGACATTCTCTTCTGGATTCTTTTTTTCACGTGACTCTGGGTTCAAAGGTCTTATCTCTCCTGGCGTGGCGCCAATAAGTAGAGAAGGGGGATTTTTCGCCGTATTAGCTATTTGTCATTGATTGCTTCTCAACTTTTTTTTTTCTCCGCTGTGTAAAATTTTCGTTTCATTTATTGATGCACGTGTAAATTTTTCCTTTCGTTTATTGAAATATTTTTTTATTTATGTACGCAAGAGAATTTCACTATGAAATTTCTCGATATAAATAGTGATATTATACAATTAGAAAAAGGTGTCCGGAATGCATTTAGGTGGAATTGGATTGAACGGAGAGATGGTAATGGGGATACCATCGGCACATGGTGCAAGAAAATAAATGTTGCTGGACAAGCATATTGTGTTTTTTTGTAACTCACTGCTGAAGTATGGTGGGGAAGGATTCAAGGCTTTCACAAATCATTCTAAAACTGTGACGCACATAAAATATTCAAAGTGCATTAGACATTCAATGACTTTAAGTAATTATGCTAATTCAAAAAATACTGATGACTTACTGGAGACTGATGCTCGGCCATTGGATATAGTGACAAGAAAAGCACGCCAAGAGGTATTAATAACTTCGTTTATCGCCGAGAATTCTCTTTCTTTCAATGTAGCTCCCAATTTAATTGAACTCTGCAAACAGTTGAGCCGCGATCAGACGGCACTAAACTCGTTGGAAATGTCCAGGACTACTGCATGTTATAAGATGAAATATGGGCTCGCAAAAACTATTAAGGAAAATATCATTAAAACTTTAAAGGAGACTCCATTTTCTCTAAATTTGGATGAAAGTACTAGCAATGCTCAAGAAAGTATACTGGCAATATTGGTGCAGTTTTATGACAACAATCAAAATGAAGTTGTAGTTCATCATTTTGCATCTCTAAAGATGGAATCTTGCAATTCAGAAGCTGTTTTTAAAGCAGTTGTTAATACTATTGAAGATAATAATATTCCATGGGCAAACTTAATTAGTGTATTAATGGACTCATGTAACACCATGCGTGGAAAAAAAAAGGGTGTTGAAACCAGACTACGATCAAACAAAGCACCCCACTTATTAGATATTGATGGTGACACATGTCACACAGCTAATAACTGTGCAAAAAAATTTGCTTCATGTTTTGATAGATACTTAGAAGATTTGTTTGATGACATCTATTTTGATATGAAAAGCTGCAGTAAAAGAGAAAAATTTTTTCAAAATCTGTGAATCCCTTGCCATTAAAAAACTTAAGCCCTTGAAGAGACCAGACCATAGGTGGGTGTACATTTTATGTGTTTTAGAAAGAATCAAAGATCTGTGGGATGCTCTTATTGCATTTTATTTTCACTACTTGGATAAAACTGATAAAGGGGATTATTTTTCTTATGTTGAAACTGTATACAATAAAAGAAATATTTCTGCAGCTCAGAAAAAAATTGTTGAAGGGGTGTATTCTTGCTTGCATTCCCAACAACTCACAAAGGATGCTTTAGCTCGGAAAAAAAGAATACTAAATGGGTTATTTGTTATGCAAAACAAAACTTTATTGCATATGGCATTATATTCAGCAGTATTACCAGAGTTCAACACATATATTAAATTATTTGAAACAAAAAAAAACCAATGCTTCATTTAATACATTCCAGTATTTATAAATTGATGGCAAAATTTTTCTCTTTTTTTATGAAGCCAGAAAATATAGAGTGCACATCTTATAATGATTTATTAAAGGTTGATGTCACAAATCCAGAATTCCATCTACCTAGCAAAGTAATATTTACTGGTGCAGAAGCTTCCACTCTCCTGAAGAAATTATCAAAAAATCATCCAATAGCAAAAGAATTCCAAATTTCTCTGATGAAAGCTTATACTAATACAGCACAGCATATGAAACAGAAATTACCCCTTAAAAATTCATATCTAATTAGTTTTACAGCATTAGATCCAGAGCTAAGAGGTAAAACCAGTACAATATTAGCTTTTGAAAAATTATCATCTTTTATGTCCCATATTTTTAGTGATAATGAAAAGTCAAAAGTAGAAGCTGAAATAAGGTTATACCAGAGTGATATTGATATCACCAAAGAAATGCTCTACACATCTGATGAAAGTGGAAATCAAGTCAAGTGTACAATTGATAAATATTGGTCTAAAGTTTTTAATTTAAAAGATGATTTCACAAATGATTATAAGTATCCTACATTGGCTAAATTGGTCAAAGCCTGCCTTAGCTGCTTCCATGGCCCATTAGTGGAAAGTGCATTCAACTTAATGGATACACTTGTCACTGACTATAGAACCTCTCTTAAGATTGATTCCCTAGATGCAGTGCAGACTATTAAATATGATTTAATGGCTTCTAAAGAAACCTCATGTGAAAAATATGGCTCAAAAAATCCAATGACTGATCCAATTCACAAAGATCTCTTACTGAATATGAACAGAAGTTGGAAAACATATCAAGAGGACTTAAAAACATGTATTTCAGATGAGTCACCTATAAAAGTCTCTGAAAAACCTTCTACATTAGCAGAAAAGCAAACTGCTTCTACCTCTGCATGTGCAGTTCTCGAGGAAATTTCTTCAACTGTAAATGAGGAAAATAAAAGTCAACCTTCCTGCAATTATGAAGTTCACCACAAAAGAAAGACAAGCCCACAAACATCAGAAAATAAAAAAAGCAGCAGAAATTAGATAATTTTTTTAAAGAATTAATTCAGGTAATTTAAAATATTTACATAAAATGTAGTAGTTTATATGTTTGAAAATTTATGGTTATTAATTTTGCAAAAATAGTAATTCATTGAACTTTTATAATTAGGTCATTCAATACTTCATAATTGTAATTTTTCATTTCTCCTTCCCCCCTTCTCGAAACTCCAAAATGTCGGTAGTAAGTCCGTAAACGTTTGAGGGGAATTTATGGGGTCCCACAAACACCCCTGCATAAAGAAATTCCTTGGTCAGCAGATACATAGTGATTTAAGAAATGCAGGCAGTTGTAACACATTAGTTCTCATTGCAGGTGCATCTCAATTCCAGTGATGAATATATTGAAAATTAGCTCAGCAATTACTGTATCTATTATAATAAATATTTTCCAATATAACTATGTTTTCTTTCTGTTTACAATCCTTGGAAAACTTACTTTCTGAATGCACCTCATACATATGTGTCAAAATATGAAAGTTGTAATGAAAGCCATCTAATCATCAGTTGTTACATTATTGAATCTTTACCAATTTTTGGGTGGCAAGTATATGATCAAATTTGTATTCTGGGCTTGAAACCATCATATACTGTATTTGACGGCATATAAGACACACTGGCATATAAGACGCATGCTTATTTAGACGGCCACACACAAGGGAAAAAAGTTTCAATAGCATGGTTTCTTTTAGTTCTCACGTTTCAAAAAAGCCAAATAAATAATTATTGAATGCAATTACCTTCACGTATAAGACTGTGACCTTCACGTATAAGATGCAGGTTAACTTTTTTGAGACCAAATTTAGGAAAAAAAGTGCGTCTTATATGCCGTCAAATACAGTATATGGTGCTCTTTTAGATTAAATATTGCATTCCGGAGGATATATAGTAACAATACTTAAAATACAATTTTTTTCAAATGTTGTCTCACAATAACTCTTTTTTTTTTAAAGGTTTTAATGCATGGAATAAAATACCCAGAATGAAAGAAGTAAAAAAACTTACTGTGAGTAAAGGAGCCTTTTTATTTGTCTTTTCCACTAGTATAAGTGAAGTAACAGTTATATTTCCTTGTATGACTTTAATCAAAGTTATACAAGATTAACCAAATGGTTAAAGCTGCTAAATAATGAAGATTATATTCAGCATTAGCAATTCTGTATGGCAAAACAGATTGGTTGTGTAGTTATTTCTGTGGTTTTTCCTATGTGTAACTTAAGCGTGACTCAGTTTCCCTCAGAAATTCATCCATAAAATCATGTAGTCTTGAATAATGGTGCTATATTTAATTAATGTAATCTGTTTCTTTTTGCCTTGTTAGAAAGGGTTCTTGTAATTTTGAGCAGTCAGGGACCGTTATGCATGGCGTCAGTATGGCCAGCTAAACTTATACCTGCCCATACTAACTCTATGTCTTCAACAAAATAGGACCATACTAGGACAAATGCTGAAATGTATTGGGTGCCGTGATCTTTCCAGATTAGAAATTGTTGAGCATCTGGCCTTAGGTTGAATTTGAATTTATTGGAGAAGGGAACTTGGCTCCACTTACCAGGTCCACGTGCCACTTGCCAGGTACTCAATCACATTGTTCTTCAGATTAATTTCTTTGAGCCTTTTAATGTTGGGAGGCCACTGAGAGGCACACAACTGGCCTATAAGCATACAGTCCTCGTGTATAAAGGCATCTATGAATTATGTGTCAATGCTCTACTTCCATTTGCCATTAAAAGTTATCTTTGCAACTTGATAATTCTTTTGAATCTGTTCCAAAGGGCTGATATTAAAGAAAAGCAGTCATCTTCTGATGTGGTGGCCCATAAACAACTTTAATCAGGACATCTTCAAACACTTTTGTCCTTTGGAACCAAATCTGTAAACTTATACTATCTGTGTTATCTTCTGATGTGGTGGCCCATAAACAACTTTAACCCCTTAACTGCTGCGCAAAACGTACAACATTCATTTCCCAGTGCCACGGTTTTTCACACAAGCGCACGCACGTAGTTATGCGATGTATTAGAGGGAAAATAAGTGCAAGTTTTACTTTCTAAAACTGTTTACTGTCACAAAATCTAGAATAAAAGAAAAAAATTAATGCACAAAACTTAATGTTTTGAGTAAAAGTATAATAAAAAGACTTGTGAAATCAGTATGCCTAAAAAAACATATATTTCTTCTGAACTGGTTGAATGCTACGATTTTGTTCTTGATTTTTCGTTTGCAATGTGTTAGTTCATATACTCGCCTACAAAACGGTTAGTTTCAGTAACAATATGTGAAGCACGAGCAGTTCATCAAAAAATAATTCAAAAAAGATAAAAGGGTTTGAAACATTCATTATATCTTTCTTTATTCCTGGAACCTACTACAAAAAGTAAACGAAAACGGAGGACACAGAATTGGAAAAAAAAAGTTTTACTCAAAACAACATCAGACAATACCTCACAGTCATTACTATCACCGCTTTAGACACATCCCTGTCTTTCATTTCTCCCCTCACTTCTCTGAAATAGTATACTCCTTCGCATAGTACTTTGTCAAGGTCATTATGGTGTTGCATTCCTAAGCTTTGCAAATAATTTTACAGGTAGCAGCGCAAAGCAAATGATAGTATTTTGGAAGGGCGTATATATATATATGCCCGGGGCAGTTAATGCATCGGTTGAGCAAGGCGTATACATATATGCCCGCATCAGTTAAGGGGTTAATCAGGACATCTTCACTTTTGTCCTTTGGAACCAAATCTGTAAACATATAGTTACACTTCAGATTACTGTAATGCTGCGCATAATGATGCATTTGCTTCAACCAACTTCCAACCTTCCCAAACCTTGCTGTGTGATACTTTTTGGCATATTGTATTGATTTGGCATATTAACATGAGACAGATGCAAGTAACTTAGTCCACAAAAGAACAGTAAAAAAATACTGCCCCCAAATACTCGTTTTATGTAATTTTTCACATCAGCATCAATTCTGATATTGTTAATTTGTACTTTAAACTGTTTTCTACAGATGTCGTTTTGTAATTTGAAGAAGTCCCTTGATAGTTCAATAGCATTTTACTGGAGTGCTTTGAATAAAATCATTTAACAAGAGTGCTTTTGACAGCATAAATATATCAAAATACTGATCATGTGTCATATTTTCCCTCTGATTGATAGACTCTTGATAGACTGTGATTGAAAATTAAAAATTTGTGCAATGTAATTTTTAATTTATTTTATTTTCTTATGGAGTAATCATTATAGATACGTTTTAAAATTTTGCTTTGTTATTTATTTTTAGGTTTGGGAATCATGTTCAGATGCAAGAATTGCGTTTCAGCATGAGGGAATGCAAGATAATGTGGCATATATTGTTGAAAATAATGCTATACTTAATGCTTTGTATTCTGTCGTAAAAGAATCTGGAAATAGAATTGAAGTTATGAAAGGTGCCAAAGCAGCAGATTACTCTTTGCCGACTGAGCAGGATGACTTAGTCACTGTCACTCTTGGAAATGATACAGTTTTAAGAACTAAATTACTGGTAATAGCCATAAACTCATCTTTCTTAAAAATACTCACCAGATGAAATTTTTGTTTATAAATTATCATTAGCATTATTTGAGTGTTCCCATTTTAGTTAGCTCAAGGTAATTACTTTTTTTGAAAAGCAAAACTTTGGATTGATTTGGTTCCTAGCTCAAATAAATATTGTTTGTTCCAAGTGTATTAATTTTTCTAAAATTTAGATCTCTGTTACCAGTAATATATAGTATCTCTGTTATAGTGATTTCTTTTTACATCTAAATATCAAGTTAAATAAAAATATAATGTCTAAAAATTTTAATCTTCGTTAAAACTTAATATAAAATTATCGGATAATTTTATTTCAAAATTTTCACTTTTGTATATATACAGCAAAAATTTTTTACAGATTTCCAGATCATCTGGATCTTAATACATCAAAGTATCATATTCTTTCAGATAGAATAATTAAAGAATTCAGATCATCAGAGTGTTATGTATCCAATAGCATCTCTTCAGAGCATTGGTGCTACAGTGTGTAATGTCACTAACCTTCTTAAGAGGTTGCAGGATATTACTCTTAATTAACTTGATTTCTAGTGAGACTGTCAAAGGATTTATTGTCCCATCTGTTCATCAGATCCAGTTCAGAAGAAGTTTTAAACAAAACTTCGTATTTAAAACTTTGAACTTAACAAATGCAAGGCTTGTGCTTACAAAATATTGTCCGCAGCTTATGGGATTCAACTAACATAAAATGTGAGTTAAAATCTAAAGTAAGTGAACTCTGGAAATTCGAAAACTAGAATCCTAGCAAGCATTGACTTAACTAATATAATTGTAAAAATAACTTAGGATAATACCATTCTAAACTAACTCACAGTGCTGGACAAGGAAATAGGACAACAGTCAGAATCGCTGCCAGTACTTTGTCTCCAACTTTCAAGAACTCTGTTCTTATATGCATCATCAAATTTGCATCATGTTGAAACTTGATGGAAGTCATAGTATAGATTAAATAATATAATAATATTTTAATTAACATAAACCTTACAAACTATGTAATATCTTTATTTGTTTATGTTCTGTCCTTTTATACTTTGATTTATTGAATTCATGTTTTATTTTTGGAATTTTATATATTTATTTTTAATTTTCTGTTATATTTTTGCGTTAAGTTTTGCAGGGCCGCTCCTAGTAGGGGTGCAGTGCATAAAAGTATATGGGAGACGAAAATCGGGGGTGGCTGAACTCTCGCGACACCACGACTAAATATTTTAAATTTATTGTAAGTACTTGTCATATGTAAGTACTTAGTGAATATGAAATAAAAATTTTATTAATCATTGAACATTTGTTTTTAATTTTGGGGGTGGCAATCATAGGAAAGTACACGGGCAGCCAATCACCTAGGAGCGGCAATTCTAGGAAAGTACGCGTGCAGCCAGTGGCCTGTGGAACAACTCTGAAGTGTTGTTTGATCTGAAAAGTTTGTAAAATATTTTTAGCATTTCATTGTTAAAGCAGTCGCTGGAATTAGTTGCCCAAACTGACAAACTTAATTACTCAGTTTGCAATGTTCGAATTTCAGATGTTGCCAAAGCCTTGTTTATGTTGACTGTTTTAACAAAGAAGTATTGATTTTTTTTGTTTTCTAATTTATATTAATCTTTTTGAATTCACTGTAGCATTTAGCATATTTTTATTTAATGTGCACAACCGATTTTATTTACTGATCATTTTAATGTGTACATATACAGTTAGAGCTCATTAAATTCTGGGTACCTGAAAATTCAAAGAGTTGAGAATATTAAAAGTGCAATTCATAGTAGGAAAGCCAAATGAACAGAAGAAGAAATTTCTGTTTCATTTTATTTATTATGAATTAAACTATCATATAAAAGATGATTTATTCACATGAAAATAAAACATATCATCCAAGTTATCAAATCAACTCTGAAAGTTATCGGAGAATTTCCAAACTTGTGTCAATCATTCCAACAGAAATTTAAAAGAACAGATCAGTCATTATTTAATTAGATAATCTATGGATATAAGATATAAAAAATTTAAATCGCTTACCACAATTTCTTAAGTTGTGTTACTATTATTTATCTGTTTTCAAATAAAATCGTATGTCATGCTGATTAACGCATGCTTTTCTTGATGCCAGGATCCTACAAGATTGAAAATACTCTATTGCATGCTGTTAGTTAAGTGTAGGTCCTAAAATTTAATTTTTTTTTTTTTCAAAATGTGACAGAAATATAGGTAATTTATATGATATTTCACAAAAATTTAACCACCTGATTAAGAATTAATTGGGCTTACTTTAAACCATCTTATGGCTGCTCCATGATGTCATGCTTATTCGTTATTGGTTCTAAATAACATTATTTTTGACAGTTTTTGTTTGTCAACAGCGGTCAGTGGTAAAGTCGGAATAAAATATATTGGTCGCTGTTTTTTTGCTATAGATGTACTTGATGCCTGTCATGAACTTTTGAGTCTCTCATATGTTCTATCTTTTCTTCTATGAGGAATGTCTAGTTTGAGGGATAATTTCTTATAATAATACAATAGATACAACAGTGGCGAAAAGAATTCTAGTTGAAAGGGAGCTTATATAACATCTGAATTTAAAAACACCATTAACAATATAACTGTATTTCCAGATAGATTAATTTGGAGAATAATTTCATTTGATTTACAAATTAAATCATTCAAAACAAAAGAACACTGCAAAGAAACGAACAATAAACACCATACGGAATGGAGAAACTAAAATATTATATGTGCCAATAAAGAACGATAACAGAAGAGCTTGCACGATGTCATCAAGGTGAAACTCGCGTAAAAAAGTTATTTAGAACTTCCTGATTTTTTGGCAGAGTTCATTTGTAAGACGTCGTCCACTATCCATTTATTTTTCTATTCTTTTTTTTTTTTTTTTTACTTTTAGTGGTGGTTTGTGATAGCAATCTTTCCATCATTCCAGAATAAGTAAATTTAATGTTTTTTTAGACATTGTCTTGTTAATTGGGAGTGGACTATGTTAAATAGTGAGAAGTAGCATTTTTAGACATATGCATAGGTGTTACAGTTTCACAGACTGGTATTTAATAATAACTGATTTAATTTTTGCTTGTTTTAATAATCTCATTCATTTGAAACACTGTTTTTTGTTTTCTTAGCTTAAATTAAAATGTAAACCCCCTTTTTTGATACAAGGATGATTGAAAATTTTAGCACTGGTTTTATTGCTTTAGTTTTACGATTATGTGTTGTATTCTGTTTTTTGAGCATTTTCTTTGGTTTTATATTTTTATATTTATGCCCTATATTAAGTCAACATTATTTTCATTTTTGATTAATTTATATATACGTATATCTTTATCATTGGAATAATTAAAATTATTTGACATGGTGAATATGCTAGAATTTTAAATGTGATAGATTCATTTAATTTTGCATAATATTGAAATGTATTTATAGTTTCATGGTGATTAATAATGGTTTAAAGGATTTTTAAACTTTAAATTAATTTTAAATATTATAATGTAACATTTAAATTTTTTGATACAGATTGGAGCTGATGGAGTAAATTCTCTTGTTCGCAAAAAACTGAATGTTAAATATATCAGTTGGAAGTATAATCAGAAAGGTATCGTTGCAACATTAAAACTATCTGAGGTAAAAAATTCTTTAAAAAATATTGTATTATTTTTGAAAATTCATAAATTAAACAGATAAAAAGTTATATAACTTAACCCACCGAGCTGTATATGTATGTTGAAAAATATTTGTTATGATACATTTAAGTATACAGACACATGTTTTGAAATGTGTGCAGAAAATTATGCTAGTATAAATATTGGAAGAAAAAGAATCAAGGTACAAAACAGAAGAGTCATTTTGGAATTTTATTATTCAAGAAAATTTAATTTTTCTTTAATGGTTTTTTCAAGAAGTTTAGAGTTTTAGGACTAAAGGATTGTCCACTTGGAGGGTTGAGTTTAGAAAAGTATATCTATATTTATTTGCATATTCATTACTTAATATAAATCTTCAGTGCAAGTGATTTCATATCTTTTTGCTTCATTATTTGACATAAATAGAGTATTCATTTATATACTTTTTTTTTTTTATCTTCACAAATTGTTTTATTGAGCCCTAATGTAATACTGTCAGTAGATGTGACAACATTGCAGTTTTGTATAAAAGGCCTCAATTGTTATGGAAATAATATTAAGGACACTTATTACAGTGTAAAATGGCAGATCTAAAGGAACAGTAAATTTGTATTAATTTTTATTTTCAGCATAGGAAATTGGTGCAAACTACACAAACTCACTACATGATAAAAATGTAGTGAGTTGCATGGTGACATTTCAGTGATATTTACATACAAATGCAATTTCTGTTAAACATTATCATCAACCTGACTGCCTTTATATCTATCAGAATGAGGAAAACATTATGAAATCGAACACTTTGGGTCAATCACTATTACTACAGAAACAAATATTTCGATTGCCTTGTTTCAACAAATTTTGCTCTAAGATCTAGAAGTGAGGTGTGTGTCAACAGCATTTATTCCCAAGCTCGTCAGAAAGGATGAGAAACGCAATCACTTCATATCAATTTTAGACTTGAGGAAACTGTTGTTAAGTATTTCACATTCTTCTTTATTCATCATCATTATTGGATGCTAGATTTATCGATAAAATAAGAGCATGATATAAAATAAAGCAAAGGAAATATACTTAAATCTGCAAGATAAAAAGGTCAGGCAGATTCGTTTCCATGTGAAAGTTATGTTAATGATGCTTTTTGACACTGTTGAAGTAGGGTCATCTTTTTGACACTGTTGGGTTTGATCATCCGGATCAAACTGTGACCAAAGAGTCTTACAGAGTTGTCTTACAGTGTGAAACAATTATAGTCTGCATTATTATGTGCAAGCTATAATTTTAGTTTGTCTGTATTAAGATTGGGAACATGTCAATACTAACATTGGAACTTTTTGGCAAAGGAAATATTCCAGCCTAAGTTGAAAGCCACCTTGAAGGAAAAAGATTAGAGGACATTAAATAAAACATGAGGAAGGATTAAAGCTGATGTATTGTAGAAAATGTCTACTTTAAAGGTAATTAATATGCATATAAAATTTTAAAAAATTAGTTAGAGAATTAAATGAACAGTAATTGTAGTTTCCTGATGAATATTTAATGATAACCTTACTAAAATGGCCAACCCTAGTTCCAAGCAATTTTTATCTTCTCTAGAGATAGTAAGTAACGTGTAAGTATTATTATTTGAAGAAAATAAGAATAAACTATGTACATTAATTGCAGTTAGAAGTGACTGTTTAGAAATTGACACAGATTTAAAAAATGAAATTCCATGATTGCTATTAGTCTGATAACAAAGATAATTTAAATCATTAATAATAAATTAATTTTATTCCTGTATGGATATTTCAACTATCAGGAACTAGTAATCATTATTTTTGGAATAATTTAAAAATAATATTAGAAGTGAAATATTAAAAATTGTGATAATGTCAGAGCATAATTTATGCAAGAAGACTGTTTTTTTAATTAAATGTTTTAAAATTAATTTTATAAATGCTGATTTTTTCATGTGTTTTATTTCTTCTTTAGCCTACAGAAAATATTGTAGCTTGGCAGCGTTTTCTAACAACTGGACCTGTTGCTTTACTGCCAGTATGTTTTATTTATATGGTTTAGTATAAAATAAATAAAATGAAAAATTGAAGCACATGCTAAAACTTATGACATAATCAATTTGTTGTTTATATTACAAACTTTTTGCATTGAGTTTGGATATGACACAGGTCATAAATATTACAGTACAAAGTCCGAAATCCAGACGTCCATTATACGGAATGATCTAAAATCCAGACCTCAAAACCATTTTTCTCATAGGCTTTACGCATGTGCATTTGATTCCCCCGTCCGAGCATAATAAAATATCTGGAGAGTCCCAATTCTCAATTTCATTTCGACACTAAATAAAATACCTTGTTATTAAAGAAACAATAATTTTAACATAAATTTGTATGATCAATAATTTGGCTCCTCTGCTGCATATCTGCGCCTGTCTACAGACTTGAAGAGAAAGTATTAGCACAAAGTACGAAGCAACTTAAATTGAAAGAAATATTTAATAAGATAAAAAAATCAATATTAAGCTTTTTTTTTTTTTTTTTTTTTTTTTTTTTAAATTTGTTACCCTTTAGATCATAAATAATTCATTATTTCATAAATCATGATTTCATAATTTTAATTTTATAATTTCTGCATGTCATTTAACTAGATTTAAACTGATGATTTAATATTCGTAAAAATCCCAAATCTGGAATCGCTGACGAGTTCGGATTTCGGAATTAGTACTGTATATGCTTTAGAGAAATGCCTTCCTGGAATCAATAAATTTAGAATTAACTTCTAAAAGAAACTAGCTCATATTCATTTTATGCATAGGAACAATACAGTCAAAAGTCGTTAATTCGGACACCCATAATCCGGACCTCAAAGCTACAAACTTTCTGCGCATGCGTTGCATTCATGCATGCGCACAGGCGTTTACGAGTGCGTGTAAGACCTTTATGACTGCGAATATGTTTGTGCGCATGTGCGTTTAATGTGTAACGGACAGTGTAAGCTAAGCTAAAAAATTACTAATTCGTAATGTTCAGATTGCGTTGTTTTTAATCTTCGAATTGGATCCGGCTTATTATTTTTTGCAGACGTTAGAGCTTTCATAAAGTAAGCTTGAACTTTCGATTATGTCAAATAGAATTTCTGATATATATTTACTAATATGTAATTTGTATCTACAAAGCGAAAGTATGTTTCGAAATCCGAAATCTGTTTTTATCATTTTCACACCGCGGATTGGAAGTGATCTGTCAGCACTATCCTTATCTTCAGCGCAGATTTTTTTATTTTATTGGTTTAATTCCTTACTAAGTGTAGTATTTCATCTGGATGTACTCTGTCTTTGATAGGATTTAAATCAGTTCCTCGTCATTATAATTCGCTCCGATAGTGAAAAGAGTGACCAGAGGTATTGAAAACGAAAAATTTCGATTGACAAATTAGTCGTATTCTCGACTCAGCAATTATAGGACATGAACAGCGGAACTTTGTAACTAAAACAAATTATGTCTGTTTAATAGAATTAAAGAGAAAGTATTATCACTTGAAATGAAGCAACTTACATTGAAAGAAATGTTTAATAAAGTAAATAAATATTAAGCTTTTTCTTTTTGTAAATTTTGATACCCTTTAGATCATAATTGTTCTTTATTTCATAAATTACTGTTTCATATTTTTAATTTTGTAATTTCTGCATGCCATCTTACCAGATTTAAACTGATGATCTATAAACCGGAAAAATCGATAATCCGGAATCGTGGAAGTCCCAACGAGTCCAGATTAACGACTTTTGACTGTATATGTTTTATTAATGTAATCAAAATTTTTGAAAGCATGATATGGAAATGAAATGATATTCAATTTAACAGTTTAAGGGGGGAAAAAGAATGAGAGACAGAGAGAGAGTTAATAAAACCGATTTCTTTTTGCACAAAAATTATGAGGAATAATTTTTGTGCAAAAAATTAATTATGAGGAATATCTTTATTTCTTGTCTGTATTACAGAGCTGGTTTAGTGTACATGGTGTTCTGGATGAGAATTTTTTTTTCAGTATTCCCTTCATAAACCATAAAATAGTAAGATTGTAAAAGGAATATAAATACCGTAATTTCCGGAAGAAACGCCGCGGCGTTTACGTGTTTAAAACTTAAATTTTCAGCGGGTGCGGCGTTTAGGTGCACTAAAAATAAAATATTTCCTATGATGGTCATTGTACATAGTTTAAATGGTCTTGTCATTGTGCATAGATTGGTGCTGTTCCCACACAAAAGACCACTCAGTTGCTTTTTGCGAACGTTATTTTGTTTACGTCCTTTCCCTTGAATGGACCTACATGCCTTATTCACCCTAAACGAGATCTCAGAACAATAACATTCTTCCCCCTGTCAAATCAACATCTCATCAGTTTGAATAGTCTCTCTCCTCTGCATTCGATGAATCTTCCAGGGACCCATCCTTTTCCACCCCTGCTTTCTGCATGGAGTAGGGAAGTAAACATGGAGTCGCCCTAAACAAGTTTCTCCGTACCCTGCTCTGAAGCACCGGCGATCCCTACGTGGTGACCAAAACATTGGGTCATTTACCATTGAGTTCTATGGGATTTGACGCGTTCGGTGTAAATATTTTGTAATTACGTCGCAAATATACATATAAATGTATATATTTTCTTTTTCTACAACACTTCAGAGTCCTAAGTATGTGAAAACAACATATTTTTAAACAACATTTCATTCTGAACGGAATTAAATGCAACTTTTCACAGGACAGTTTTCTCAGAATGGTTTAATTTGAATGAAATATTTTCACAAGTTTTCGTTAATTACATTAGAAAAAAAAATTAAGGTAATTCGATTTTATTCGGTTAAGGTACAAAAATTAAGATCAAAGTTTATTGTATTATTAATATTAAAATTATGCATTATTTCTTTTCTATTTATAGAGCTTCTTCCTAAAATACTTTCTTAAATATGACATGATTTTTTGGCTTCTTTTAAATCGAAAAATGTAAGTCAATTTATAATTAATGCTCTATTCGGTTCATTTTAAATTAGAGAATTATTAGGAATTAGCGAAATACTTTAAATAAGTATTTTGCTAATTCCTAATAATTAAATAGGTATTATTAATAGTATTTGACTTTCTCTGAAACATTTCTGAAAGGGAATAAAATAAGTTTTTTTTTTTTAAAGTATTATTTAAAACTTGTAACTGAGTTATTATTAAAATGTAAAGGGAATAATTCTTTTAATTATACTTATCAAATTTTTTTTTTACCCTTCATTTCAACAATACATATTCCAAAACTCTTTATTACGTTCTTAAGTGCGCATCTCATAGCATTTGCTTTACAATACCTTTTAAAACAGATTGCTTTCCAATACGAACAATTCTTGCTTAAATAGTTTTATAACGTTATTTGTCAACAGGATTTCAATTTATGTTTACAATTCAATATTAAAGGTTATTATATATTTAGATAACATTTATAATCATTATAAATTAGATACATTTAATCATTAGATTTCTTCACAGTACTTTCACAGTTGTTTATAAGTGAATAAATTCTTCATTTCAAATACATTTATAAATAATTTAATGAATATTTAACGTATTTTGTCAAAGGCAGATACATGCTTTTTGCAAGCACAAGCACATGCATAAAAATACCCATACATATTTCCTATTTATCATTTCCGGCATGTGCAAATCTTTAATTTCTGTGCATTCACTATATTTTTCGTGTAAAGTAATTTACACTAATTTAGCATACACCCGAAAGTTTTACATAAAAAATATATATGAATATAATTTGAATGAAAATTATAAGTATTATTTTTAATACCACTCAAAGGTCATTTTTTCTTCAAAATTCCTCCACGATGGCATCTCTCTCTTTAGGCAGATAGCCCTTGCATGCGTTTACTCTATTTAATAAAAACTTAATCTGACCTATGTGCCTAATTACAAATATTTTAACATACATAATTTTATATTTACATTTAGCCATCAAGTTTTCAAACTTTTCAAATCTTCTAGAAAAATAAAATTTTGGCAATCTCTTTTAGCAATTTTCTTAAAATCTATATTTTTGTAGTGCAACAGCTTAGAATTTTATTAAAACAAATTCATGATCAAAATCGCTGTTGTTAGTTATCGAAAAATAACCAAGATGTGATTTTTGCGTAAATGTCAGTAAACTATACAAATTGCTATTATCCATCACACTATGAATGTTTTCTTCATGCGAAGAGTGTCCCTTTTTCGATTTCTATGGAACTGTCGTGTGTCGAAATACTATCAGAATCTTGTCAAGCGAGCTTCTGAATGTAAACAAAGAACACCCCGTCTGGTGACCCAAGCTTCAAAGCAGTGCTTCACTTCTACCGCGGAAATGGCCCCCTCCTCCCTTCCTACCTCCATGCTTTTCTGCAAATTTTTTCAAAGGCGACACAACTGCCACCTGCTGCATACGAACTCTGATGTGTCCCCTCAGCATGAATGGATTTTTCTTGGCATTCTGCAAATACGATCCCATCGTTAGGGTACAAGTACGTGTTGGATAGTTTTTAATTAGGGGCTGAAATTTTTGAAAATGTCTCTCAACGGCACAGAAGCTATCAGTCTTACCTTATTTATTTTTGAGTTTGGTTTCATTTCATGCTTTTCTTAACTGGTATGTCATATCAGGACTTAGGTTGAGTTTTGCATTATACGGCCACGACGATGTCACGCGCAATTTAATCATTGCGGCATTTACAACTTATGCGGCGTTTTTTGAATTTTAATTTTTTCCCTCCATTTTTCGAGTGAGCGTTTAGCTGGCGGCTTTCTTCCGGAAATTACGGTATATAATAGTATGTAACTTACAGTTAAACTATAACTTCTTTTTTTAAAACTAGGTTAGTTGAAGTTTTGACATTTGAACCCATTGGACAAGTAAAATGCATTTATGTACTAAATGAAAGAACTTTTAATTTCTTTAAATTAAAAATAATTAATTTCTTTAAATTAAAAATAAAGTAGCTATAAAACACATCAGATTTCATGTTTCTTTATTTACTTACTTGTTGGGAAAAAGAGGAAAATTGTACGTGTAATTTCATCCTTATGAAAATATATAATGAAATCAAAGTCAGTAATGAACGTACATTCATAATTAAAATTTATATGAACATGACCTGAAAATAATATTAATTGAAATGTATTTGTGTCTTTTTCAGTTGTCTGATGACCAGTGCTCTTTAGTATGGACAGTCTCTTTGCCTATGAGTGAAAAACTTCTAGAAATGCCAGAGGAGGAATTTGTTGATACTTTAAACTCAGCATTAGTTAGTATACATAAAAATAATTTTTAAGCATGAAATTATATTCCATGGGGTTTGAACTTCGTAAAATTTGTTTCATTATTATTTTAATCCAATGCTAAACTTTTTGATATTTGACAAAGTATTGATATCATATCATATATCAAGGAACTATCATATATCAGTGGTTACTATCATATATCAGTATATATATAATCATATAGTAGCAAACTATCATATCATATATATGTAGTTTTGATATTATATCATATATCAGTGGTTTTGATATTATATATATCACTGATATATATCAGTTAACACTTTTACTACTTGAAGGAATTTCCTTGTTGTTAAGTGTTTTTTGTATATTAATGGATATTATGGTCATTTATTGAAATTTTTCCGTAATTGGGAATTCTGTTTGCAGTGCATGACATTTCGGTCACAATTCTTCAGTCGCATTTTATTATCACAGCTTAAATGCTTAATTTTAATTTCTTCCACTTTTTACAGCACTTTCTGCATGCATTGCATTTGAGAAACTTAAATAATAATGCAAAGGATAATTGTAAGATAAGAATGTTATAATTAGATGCATTATAACTAGAGTGACAGTTGTGGTTATCAGTAATGAGATTATTTAACATAATGGTTCAAAAAGAGGTGTGTTCAAAAAGAAACCAAACTTTTTTCATAACATCTTTATTGCTTATTGTACAACACTGAAAGCACTGTTCCCCTTAAAGTATCCTCTGTACTGGCCAGACACTGTTTCCATTGTTTCTTCCATTTTTGGAAAGCTTTCTTAATTTACTTTATGGGATGGCACGTAGGTCTTTTATCGCATTGCCCTGAATTTCCTCTATGGTTTGGAAACAACGTTCTTTCAATGCGGTTTTTAGTTTGGGAAACAGGAAAAAGTCTGCTCAGGCTAGGTCCAGAGAATATAGTAGATAGGGCACAATTGGAGTGTGAAGTTTTGCTAGATAGCTGTGAACAAAGAGCAATGCATGAGCCAGCATGTTGTCATGATACAATATCCAAGTCTGGTTTTTTTCACAATTCAGACCTTTTCCTGCACACAGCACCCCTAAAACACACTAGAACTCCTTGCTATACTTCCTTGTTTACCACCTGATCATTGGTAGAAATTAAATGATAGACAATGCAATCAAACAACACAATCAACATCATCTTGATTTTTGACTGACTCATGCAGGCTTTTTTTGGACGAGGAGATCCTTTGCCCTCTCACTGCAACAACTGCACCTTTGTTTCAGTATCAAAGCCATAAACCCACATCTCATCGCCTGCTATGACGTCCTTTAAAAGTTTTTATTGTCATTGGAAGTGGCAAGCAATTCCTGGCGGATTTCAAAACAGATCTGTTTCGGATCATGAGTCAGTAAATGCGGCACATACTTTACACTCACACAATGCATCTCAAGTTTGTCACTCAAAATTTGAATGCATGATCCTACGCTGATGCCCATCTAATGGAAATTTTCATCTAAGTTGTAACATTTTGGTATTTAACGTTGATATTTAAATTAATTTTTGTGATTCAATTTTATTGTTCAATAGTTAATGAAAGTGCATTTTTTTAATAAAACAAAAGATAGGAAGCTCAGACTGTGCTGTAAATAGTACTGAAGTTTTATGCAAAATGTAGTTTTGCTCATAAAAGTATGCAAAAATTCTTATAATTTTACGGAATAGTTACTACCCCAAAAAAAGAAAGTAAATTTGAATAAAACTGGATTTATCCTTTTATGTAATTAGCTGTTTCATTCTATGTAATACTGGATATCCACAAGACTGAAATTAAGTTGGGCTTCTTGTTAAAATACAAGTCCGTATATGCATTTGAAAATGAAATAAGCTTATTGTTTTGATTTGACATTGATATATTTCAACTTGTAAAAAATTTCAAGTATATGTATCCTTAAATTTGTGTCTGAAATTTCAAAGTGTTAATAACATACATCAATTATAATTTTTGTTATGTATATACACATATGCACGCATATCAAGTTGTGACTGTTTTGTGTGAAATGTCTGAAGGTAATACTAAATTTAAAAATTCCTAGTTGATGAAGGAATTGGTTATAAGAGATAGAACGGAGAAATGATTATCAAGTTAAAAGTATTGTGCAGCTGTAAAGTATGATGCAGTTCATTTAAATATTCAAAAGCAGATTCATTTTGCATTGTCAATACAAGATTTGTGATGAAATGTGAGTTTGAATGTATGTTAAATATATTATTGGATTGGATATGTTATTGAAAGCGGATCCTGCAATTTTTGGTTTTTTTACTTATTTTTAGTGGAATGAAGAAAATAAGAATTCTGTTGTGGATTCAGCTGTTTCTACTTTGAAAAATATGATATCATCCATTTTTCCTGGTAATAAAATTAATCTGCTTTTGTGCATATATTAATTAATAATAATATAATTAATTAATATTATTAATAATAAAATTAATATGCTCTTGTGCATTAAATTTTTTTTAATTTTAAAGATCTGCACATAATCAAGTATATTATATCAAAGTTACTGAAATTAAACTAACAAGTAGAAAATTCTGTAAATTTAGCAGATTGTTTATTCTAGATTTAAATAACTTTACTCATGCACATCTAGATGTTTATGCTTTTTTTGTATGTTTATGTATATGTATGTGTATGAGTACATATGCATTCTTTAATCAAAAAAGGAACAAAACAAGCATCCTCAGAGTATCCTTGAAACAGATTAAATTCACATCCTATGTTTTATAAATATTGTAGGATTTAGTGAACAAGTGATTAAAAATTTGAAGTGAATGATTGAATGGTAGTGTCTGTCACAGCATTCGAAAAATATGCATCAAAATGTACATATTAAGAACAAAACACAAAGAAGAGTAAACGGGACTGGAAACCATGATTATATGAACCTTTTTGCAAAGAATATTTAGATATACAGTCAAAAGTCATTAATTCGGACACCCATAATCCGGAATGATCTATAATCCGGACCTCAAAGCTACAAACTTTCTGCGCATGCGGTACGTGTGTCGTAAGCCTTTACGGCTGTGATTTGCCTGTGCACAGCGCATAAACGTTTACGCATGCGCGTTTACGTATAACGGCGGTTTAAGCTAGCAAAATTATCTAATTCAGTTAATGTTGCAGATTGCGTTGTTCCTTAATCTTCGAATTGGATCAGGCTTATTATTTTTTGCAGACTGTTAGGAGCAATTTTAAAAGTAAGCTTGAACTTTCGATTATGTCAAACAGAATTCCGATATATATTTACTAATATGTACAGGATCTACAAAGCAAAAGTATGTTCGAAGTCCATTAAACAAAAAGTGGAATTGCTGCAAAAAATGGAAAAAGGCATATCCTTTGTTCATTAACATCCGAATCTGTTATCAATTTTGCTCTCTTTAACGCGCGCAATTGGAAGTTGATTGTCAGCACTATCCTTATCTTCAGGGCACTGTTTTATTTTTTGGCTTATAATTCCTTATAAATGTAGTATTTCATCTCGATGTATCCGTTTTGAATGATTTAAATCAAATTCATCGTCATTTAATTCTCTTCGGATTTAGCGATGAAAAGTGACAGCGGTTATTGATACGAAAAAAAAAAAATTTCGATATTGACAAATTAGTCCGGTTTATCTCGACCATATCAAATTTAATAGGACTTGAACCAGTGGAACTTTGTAACACTGAAACAAGGAAATTATGTCTGTTATAGACTTAAAAAGGAAAGTAATTTGTACAAAGGAGTCCTAAAATACTGTTTTGTTGTACAATCAGTGACTAGCAAGATTTATTGTTACAGTTTATGGGCCCCGTAATGTGCAAAGGGAGGACTATTTTTATGGTTTTGAGATTTTTTTCCATGATCCAGGACTATTAAATATAACAGAGAGGATTATAAAAAATAAATATTTTTCCTATTAATAATTTATTTATTCAGTAAATAGTATTCTTATGAAAAGATGTAGCTTTGGAATTTGGTTCAAGTGTACACAAATTAAGGAAAGAAAACATAATGAGAAGGATGTGCTTGAAATCTTGGTGCAATATTTGACACTGCTGAATTTAAAGCAGTTTCAACATTTTTTTAGCATTGAACAATGTTTGGATTCAATAAATGTTAAGGCTGGAGAAGTTGTTTCATAAAATATGTGGTGCTGAATAATTGAAGAACATTTAATCCCATTTCAGAAATTGGGAGAAATTCACTTCTATCATTGATGCCAAATTCAATCAAGATTTGAGTGGAAACTCACACAAAACTGAAATCATTCAAAATTCAGTGTCAAGTATTTGCAAAACTGTGTTTCTAAGATTTTGAAGTGATCTGTAATAATTTTTGCAATAAAAGTCTTATAATTATTTTCATCAACTATAAAACTTGTCTATAGTTGAAAACATTTCGAATTAATTGTTTTTCATCCTATTCTTCTATTGTTGGTCTTTTCAGTAAAACCTTCAGTTTGCCTTTTGAAGTTAATATATTGTTGTTTTCTCCTTGAAGTGACATGATAAGGTCATTTTAGTTCCTCAAAAGCTGATTTTAGCCATTTAAAGACCAGCAAGATCATATTTTTGTTCAGTTAGAGATGCAGTAATAATTTCATCTTTTAATGGCAAGCGGTCCTTATAAGTGCTTATAAGTCCTTATATTTGAAAATAAAATATAAAGGCCTTTTTTTTATTAGGTTTTGCTTACTTTTTCCTTTTTTTAAAAAAGCCCTTATTTTTTTTTTTTAGTTGCCTAATTTTGTTTTAGTTGTTTTTTTTTTTTTTTTTTTTTTTTTTTTTTTTTTTTTTTTTTGTTTTTTTTTTTTTTTTTTTTTAATGAATGAATTGCCACTATTTTTTCCCCGGATACCAAAAGGCCGAAACTAAATATAACACAACTTTTTCTTCCTAATATGGAAATGTCAGATGATGGTGAACTCTTACTTAAATTACTCCCGGGGAAACGGGAAATAAGGCTGTTCAACTTTCTCTGCATTAACATGAACATAAAACCTTTGGGTGTGCACGAAGGAGTAACAGACAGGTGGGGGGGGACCGTCGTTCTATTTGGTCAAAGAAAATGCGGGGGAAAAGCAGTAGGAAAATTTTCCGGTACATTCGCATTCTTGTTCCTCCCACACAAAATACTACACCGTTTGGAAATTTATATCAGAGATTTCTTAATAAATCTGCATTCTCGTTCCGCTTGGTTCAGTTCATAATCATTGGTTTCTATCCGCACTTGGTCAGAGTTTCCCATATTCGTGTATTTTAATTATGAGCAGATGTATGAAATGTTTATAATAAACACCAATAGTTGCAGTAAACTGCCGAAGTATAAGTTAAACTTTTCAAACAATTGGGGTTGTGTGTTAACACAGATTAGCTTTCTAAGGAATAATATTCGGAATTGGCTTAAATAAAGGGAAAAAAGTAATCGAATAGTCAAAAATAATTTTGTTCTTTTTGGCCAATACATTATACAAAGTTACGGAGATTGGGAGGGTTCTGCCCCTTTCTCCGAAAAAATCTCGAATATTGAAATGTTACCACGATTACAGCCTGGGAAAACAAGCAATTTTTTTTTTTTTTTTTTTTTTTTTTTTTTTTTTTGTCACTTTCCAATCTGGATTGAATGGACTCTAAAAAAGGTTCTGCGAATTCTACCAACCAAAGCGAAGATTGGTTCTCTTCTGAAATTTAATGCGTTCTTGTTTTTGAAATTAGAATGAAAACACCCCACGTATTAGTTTCTTTATTTCTCCCAGTACCGGCAGCTGTTGGATTTCCGAGTGCGTATAATCACCATAGGGAAGAATTTACGGGCGCACAACGTATGCGCCAATAACGCTTGCGATCTTTATGCAGAGATAATTAATTTGATGTTTCTGTCCGAGCTTTGTTTTGAACACTTAAAAGAGTTTTATTGTCTTTGCCAAGCCAAAATATTTTTCAGTTCCATTGGTTTATTTTTATATGAGCGCATATCGAAACGTCAAAAAAGGCCTTTAATTTATTTAGCAGGGGGAAAAATTAAAAAAAAAAAGCGGCTACCAGTCTTACCCCCCCCTCGCTATCTTTTTCAAAACAGTTACGGCTGACTCTGTTCGAATATTCGCAAAATTTCAAGTATGCGGGTTGGTTCGTGTTAAGCTTTTACTGTAAAAAAAGGATGACTGATGAAGCACATTTCTGTCCTTCTGATTTCAGAAAATGTTCCTCTTTTTTACTTGAATTACTTTGCTTGCAATTTATCTTGTTCAGGGAAAAAAAACTGATTATACAATTGAAAAATTTAGAAAATGTTCCGAATTAGATTTAAAATTATTTAATATCAATATGAGTGGGAAAAAAATAAATTGTATTTATTATGAGGTTCCAAGTGGAACACAATTAAATATGGCTATTATTATTATTTTATCTATTTTGAACTGAAATTTCATCATTAAAATCTTGTTAATTTATAGTTAGTTCTGCATAGTTTTCCATCTCATTGTAAACTAGGGTTCTGTAAAATGATACTTGTTATTTATTAACTTCCTGTAAATTGAAAACTGTTACTTTTTAAAAAAAAAAAAAAAAAAAACACAAGTAATTTCAATTTTCCATTGGGTTGAGGTTAATTTGCTTATTCTCTCTTATAAATGACTTGCATTTCTTATATTTAATTACAGGTCAAATTTTAAGGTTTATGCAGTTGTGTATAATGTAATTAGACAGGTGCTTATTTTTTTTCTTAAAATGTGCTTGAAAAGTGCTTATAGGTGCTTATTTTTTTAACTAAAATGTGGCTATGAACCCTGTAATAAAATAATTTGATAGAATCATTTTTTGTTGTATCAGTTATTTCGTCCTGACAGACTTTTGCCATTTGTTGATAACTTGATAGGCGGCTATCAATGTGGATTATGAAGGGACAATCTACAACTGAGTAAATTTTCAACTTAAAACAGATTCTTAAAAAATGTAGAGAATTTGGAATTGAGACTCACAATCTTTTTTAAATTTTAGAACAGCATATGATTGTATTAACAGAGAACTCCTCATAAAAGGTATTCCTGAATTAAAAATTCCAGAAAAACTTATTGCACTTGTAGTCTTGACTCTCAAAGAAACCATAATTCAAGTATGCATACAGGTGATTACATAGAACAACTTGAGGTAAAGAAATGGAGTGTGACAGGGAGATGCATTGGCATGCCTCCTGTTTAACCATAGCACTCGAAAAAGTTATTAGAGACTCGAAGAACAATAGTAGAGGAAATATTTTTACTCAGTGCAAATATTGGTTTATGCTGATGACATTGGCATTATTGCCCGAACTGCATTGGCTCTCAAACAGGCATTTATGGCACTAGAACAGAGTGCTAAAAGAAGTAATTTATTTGTAAACGAAAATAAAACTAAATATTTACCTTGCTTAAAGTCTTACTTACAACTTAGTCACTTAGAAATTGACAATTATAAATTTGAAAAAGTTAACAGATTTAATAATGCATGACTTTTTATTCTTAGCAATCAAATATGAAATTTCACATGACTGTAAATATTTTTCTCTAAGGGTCATAAATTTGTCAAAATACATTACATCATTAACACATTGTAGGTATGGCAAACTCACGTTCTGCAATGTTAACATTCTTTGGAAAAAATGGGTTAAGTATAGTTCAGATGAGGAAGGTATGTATAATTTATACAAACCAAATTATTATTAATTAAAATGAGAATTAGTAATTAAAATAGAAAAATGAAATAAATATTAATTGAAAGGATTTCCATTATTATTTAATAAGTAGAGACCTGATACAATTATTTTTAAAAATAGCTGGTGTTTTTTGTTTGGAATGATGTCTGATACAATTTATTAAACATTTCATGGTAAGAAGTGCAAAGTTTCTCAGTATCTTTCATAAAGTGTCCTCTTATTTCTTCATTTAGGTCAATCTCCATTAAAAATCAGACAGTTTCTTTGTCTTTTTTTAGCAGCTCGTTTAACTTATGGGTTAAAGTTTCTTTATCTTCTTCACTATCATTGCTTTCACCATCTGCTGGTGTTATAAATCATCCAACTCATCATTTCATGATCATCATTCTTGACTAATTCTTTTATTTCTCTTACCATATGTGAAAAATCTTTCGCCACCTGTTGCTTCCGCATTTTGTAAGATTTTTTTCGCTTCATTTTCAGTTGATGAAAATCCTTTAAAATTTTTGACAACATATGGCCAGAGCTGATTCACTGTTGATAAATTTATTTGTTCACATGCAAGTTTAATCATTTCTGTGCTGTGTCTTTGAATTGCTTCCAAAATGCCATTAGTATGTTGTACTTTTCTTTATCTAGTGCTTTATTTGCTGAGTTGTAAACAGACCTGACTTAATAAGCTTTGAATGTTTTTATGATTCTTTCCGGTGGTTGAATTAAGAAAGTGTTCTGGGGAAGAAATAAAATCTCTACATTTGGATGCAATGTTTTGAAGCCTTTAGCTTCATGTTCTGAAGCATTATTGAGAATAAGAATAACTTTAAAGCTCAAGTTTTGCTATTCTAATCAATGTTTGACTTCTTTAACTTCTTCTTTTATTCATATTTGTGTAGAGGTCTATTATTCAATTTATTATAACATGTGTTTTGCATAATTGCTAGGTTTATGATAAAATTTGAGGGGAAAATATAGTTATTTATCATTATAATTTTTTCTTCTGTTTTTACTTTCTACTTTTTAATGCTTGAAATGATTGGTAATCTAGTTATGCTGTATTTTTAAAGTTTTTTTTTTTTTTTTTTGTATTACAATTACAGTTTGATAGTTGCAATGTCTTAAAAATAGTTTTATCTGTAAGCTCATGTGATGTTCAGTTAATGATTATCCTTCTTTATATTCTTGTATGTTCTATTTTACTGTAGGTGCTGAGTCAGTTCGTCAGCTTCCTCCAAGTATATTATCAGTAGAACCAAATAGCAGAGCTGCATTTCCATTAGGATTAGGACATGCAGCAGAATATGTAGCTCCAAGAGTTGCTTTAATTGGGTAAGTAAAATAATTTCTAGTTGTTTAAGATATTTCAAGATTAAATTTGAGAAGTTTTAAGCTAAGATATATGTAGAATGGTTTTAATTAAGATATATCTTTTGTAAGATTTAGAATTTAAGTTTTATTGTATGTACATTGTAAAGAAATACCAGTACTTGGGTATTAGCTGGCACTCACTGATATACTTCCAACAATCTATTGCCTCCTTTTGGGGTTAAAATATATTTCCTGTATCAACAGATTCATTAAACATGTTTTTAAATTTTCTGATGAGTATTATCTAGCAAACGCATTAAAAAAATCATCTGTATCAAACTGTTAATTCTCTGCAACTTCTCTTTGCTTCTGTTTGAACTCTGGTAATTGAGAACAGAGGCATTGCTATGTGTGGGCAAAGGGGAGCCATCTGTCCCCGGGCACAGCATCCAGGGGGCACCAAACTAATGTTACGAAATTTTAGAATGAAATGCTTCTTGGCACACAGAAAGACAACTAAATCTTCAATTGTCCTTGGGTGCTGAACACCCTAGCTATGCCTCTGAGTGAGAAGACAAATTATTTCCCACAAACAAATTCCCAGCTGTTATTCTATCATTTTGTTACCAGTTATTGACATAACATTTCTATCGCACATCTACATTATGTACAGTTTCATTGCACGAGAAAGAAATATTTGTGAGTTTATGGTTAAAATGCCACATACCTGGAAGTAATGGTTGCTTCAATTTAATTTTTTCACTAGTCTACTAAATACATATGCAAAATGTGAAATTAGCACAAGTCAATCAAGCACTGTCCTGAGAACTTTCCATTAGAAGAATATTACCAAAATATGTATGCAATGAAAATATTACATTATTCTAATTGGTCAGCAGTTGGTGTTCAGAAAGAAAAGAAGTCATTCCGACTATTCTTTAGCCAAAGAAAAACATTAACAAAAGAAAAGGGGGAAATAAAAAATTATGTATTTTCAGAAGAATCCAAGAAAACTTGTAGAGTTGTTGTGATACCTGCAGGAAAGCTGATACATAGATAATGCATAAGCAGATTACAACTAACACCCAAAAACTGAAATATCTATTTATCTAATAAAGCAGCAACAGTGGAAAAGTAGGGTAATTGTTTGCATTTAAGCAGTTTTTCTTTTGAGAAGGAATAAAAAGCATTTAATGCAAATGAAATTATAAATACAGTCAAAAGTCTTTAATCCGGACTCGTCGGGACTTCGGCGATTCCGGATTATCGATTTTTCCAGATTATTAGATCCATAAGTTTTAAAATTTTAAAATTGGTAATGATGGGCATGCAGAAATTCAGAAAGAAGAAAAGAGAATTATTAAAATTAAATATATGAAAACCGTAATTTAATAAAAATAAATGAGCAATTATGATCTAATAGGGGTAATTTATATCAAAAACTTACAAAAAAAAAAAAAGAAAAGAAAAGCTTTAATATTCTTTGTTTCCTTTATTTTAAAACATTTCTTTCAACGCACCGCATGCATAAAGCATATACGTTACGGCATAAAGTCCGAAATTAGGAAAATTGCAAACCCAGAAAAACTATTGAATTTGTATTCGTGATATTTATAAACAGGAATTTGAGTTTCAATCATATCAAAAAAAACGAAGTCATGAGAGAAAATACTAACTTAGAATGAAAATTATAAGCCGAATAAAAATAAAAAAACATCTGGCCCTGAAAGGGATAACGATAGTGCTGGGACAGATCATTTTTCCAGTTCATGCACGCAGCGACGTCCCCCAGCGGCACAGAGCAGCGTTAAATGATAAAAACAGGAATTTTCGGAACGTTAGATTAAAACAAAAGGGATATGCCTTTATCCATTTTTTGTAGCAATTCCACTTTTTGTTTGATGGACATTCGAAAACTTACTTTTCATTTTGTAAGATCCCTTTGGGGCTCCAGGCATTGGACAATTATTTGACATCATAATCGAAAAGTTCAAGCTTACTTTTAATAAAATTGCTTCTTACAGTTCTGCAAAAAATAAATAAAGCCGGATCCAAAATTCGAAAGACAGGGATTAAGGGAACAACGCAATCATCAAACATTAAACTGAAATAGATTATTAGGATAAATTTTAGCTTTTATACCGTCCGTATTACATTAAAAACGGCGCATGCGGAAAAATTATGTTTTTCTGGCGCACACGGGCACAATGCGCAATCATCAAAGGTCGGTCGTGGGCGCGGACGCGGGTAAAACGGCCTTATGTGGCATGCGTCACTGGCGGCGCATGCGCAGAAAGATTTCAGCTTTGAGGTCCGGATTATAGATCATTTTGGATTATGGGTGTCCGAATTAATGACTTTTGACTGTATAACTAGTGTAAATAATTTAAGTGTAAAATTAAATTAACTTTAATGTAATTTAACTTAACTTTAAGAGGAGACTGAAAATCAGAATGAATGAAAATAATCATTTGTGTGCCTATGGGATTATGTTCCTGTTAATTATGAGATAATCATGCAATTAAAAAGAAAAACAAATTAATGAAAAATAATAAAGAATGGAGATTTCTCAATTATATATTAATAGATAGCTTTCTCAATTATATATTAATTCTAGTATTTTAAGAGCCCTTTATGGTTCTTTTTCTTCTCGGCTTTTAATACGTACAAGAGTTTTTTACTATAGAAATTTATATCCATTTCTCATTTGTGATATTTTGATGTCTGAGAATGAAAGAAACACGTGATTAAAAGCTATTTCATAAAACTATTTGAAAACAATATAGCTAGTACTCATTTTAATAGGCAAGGGAATTCAGGGGCATTGATTTCAATACTGTGTACCATTACCCAACATGAAATTTGACTAAATAAGCTGCTGTAAAACACCCAGTCTTCTAAATTCTGATTAGTTGACGCATTAAAGGTTAAGAAAACTTTGAGTGAGTATTCATTATGAATTGTGTAAAATAAAAAATGGGTTTATACCTTAAACCGGTAAGAACTACACCAGACACAAATTATATCAGAAATCCTTTATAAAGTTTTGCAAAAAATAACCATTATTCATATTTTAGGGACATGTAAATATAATTATAGAAATTCAATGCTTTCTCAGCGAAGATATTACCTATAATGAGCCTCCCGAAACACATTCTTTGTTTTGTATATTTCTGAAGGTTTTATTCAGAACAGATGAATTTTATAATGTTGTACTTTTTCTGAATGATAAATAGTTAAATAGTCATAATGTTTACTTACCAAAATGAGTGTTTATATTTTAAATACTGATATTAATTAGCATGTGTTTGAGGAGTTTTGAGCATAAAAAGTCGCTGAAGACTAGTAGTTTGGTCCGAGGTTCAAATCCTGCGAATGGGCTAGCTGCATGGGCATTTTCTTGGTCTTCTTCATGTGTAACATATATATGAGCCAGTTTCCCTCAGAAAGTCCTCTACAAAGGCATGGCTACCCTTAAGCAGATAGCCCTCGAGGCTTTGTGAAAATCAAATAATCCCAATGAGCATAAGAAACATAACTCGGACAATTTAGAGAAAAAGGCTTATTCATTAAAACTGCAATGAAAGTAGCAAGAAAGCTAAAATACTTTTTATTTACCTTACATATGATAATAATAACCAGTTATGTTTAACTCTGTGGTAGGATTCAGCAGATTCGCAGAACTAATTCTGAGAATACTGTGCAATTTTGTGAAGTGGTTGTTAGTATTGAATCGTAATATTTATTTACACAACTTTCAGCTACTTATTAGTTAATTTTATTGCTTATTTAATCAGTGACTAGTTCTTAAAAATTTTTAATTCCTCTTCTGATTAAATCTTATAATATGCAAAATATGTTTTTAATCGATTTAATAAGTATAATGTTCTTAAAAAGTAGAATTATTTAGTTTATATCCAGTTGTTGTATAATATCCTAGCAATTATTTACCTTAAAGTTTCTTTTTCATGTAATGGTTGGACAGTTGCTCAAAAAATGAAAATAACTTAATCCAACAGTCGTTAAGCTGTCTGATCACCAAAAATGTTGCCCACAGTGCTCTAGAAATGACATTATGAATTACTCTAGAATGAAAGTATTTCATCCTCAGAAGAAATGATAAACATACACATAAAGCAAAGTTTTATATGGGAGTTAATAATATCCCATTTGTTTTGGACTATTCCATTGGTTTTGAGTTAGATATTTGATGCTGTGAACCTTATGAAAGATCAGCACAACAGATGAGAGGCAATTCCTAATTGTTAATTATGTAAAGGAAGAATATAATATATTCAAGAGCATCAAACATGTCTATTTCATGATAAATATCTCATTAATTTTGCACTTTTAGGGTATCTGTTTGAAAACTGCTAGGCTTAAAGAGACCTATCTTTCCTGAGCATTTATGAGAAATCCATATAATGAAATCCATAATTAGGATACAAATTTTTTAAAATTTCATGGGAAGTAGTGCTGTGTTTTCATATTGTTGCATTTGTCACTTCTTCTGACACCGGTTGTTACGTTATTTTCTTCCTTCACGTTCGTACGGGGTTCGTGTGGATTTGGAGTAAATAATGATGACACTTGATGAAGTATCAAAACACACTTTATGTAGCCAGACTAATCAGGCCGCTCCAAAAATGTTTTACAGTCGTCGATGAACTACGATAAACCCGCTGACATATCAGCAAACCAGCCTCCAGGTTATCAGGCTATGGCAGTGGAGCCAGCTTCATGGGAAAGGCATAGAGTACAGCTCTCGACTCGCTTGGTCGTTATCAGAACCCCGTACTCGCGAACTTTCATGCTACAACTCGTGATGCACGCGAGAACACAGGGCACAGCTCCGACTCTTCGATTCAGTCGTTCCCGGAGTCAACACATTCTTCGACAATGCACTAACCGTGATACACTACGAAGACTCTTTCGGTGCATCGACGACCCACTCAGCACTCCCTGCCGGCTGTCAACTTGATCAACTCCGGAGAAAAGAAATTCACCGCTAGACGAGAACC